TGAGATGAAGGTGGCCTGGACCAGGGAAGCTGCTGTGGAGCTGCTGAGAAACAGTCCAGTTCTGGACCCACTGTGAAGAGAGAACCAATGGGCATCCCAGCAAACTGGAGTATGAAAAAGATGCAGAGGTCCTGGATGCCTCCTGGGTTTTTGGCCTGGATAAGGTGCCCGTCCTTTATAAAGACAGGAAAGACCACAAGGAGAGCAGGTGGAGGTGGAAACCAGGAGTTCATTTTTTGGCCACACGAGTTTGAGATGCCTATTAGGTACCCAAGTGAAGATGGTGTATGTGGAGTTAGACCCACCCATCTGGCCTTCAGGGTGAGGGTCCAGTCCGAGGACAAGAACAAGAGAGTGGCCAGTGCAGAGGCAGATTTGGGTTCCTGGTGACTGGGTGAGATCACCTGGGGGCTGGCAGGGCTGAGACCCAGGCCCTCCAGCATCCCCTGGACTGAACGAGGCCATCAGTGCTGAGTGAACGGTGGGGTCACGAGCCTGCTTGCACCAAATGCAGGACAGCAAAGGGGGGAAAGAAACCAAGGGGAGCAGAGATGCGGGCATTCGCTGCGAAGAAAGCGAAGGGTTCTTTTTAAGAAGGGAGAGACCAGGAAAAATCCGTGAGGACACAGCAGAGAGAGGGGAGACGTCGGGACTGTGTCCGTCAGTGAGCAGGGGTGGGATTCCGTGCGCAGGTGCAAGGAGGGTCACCCGGGGGACCAGGAGCTCAGCACAGGGGCCGAGCACCCAGGGTGGGATCTGGACCGTCGCTGGGACCCTCTGTACCCAGGAGACTCCTGACACACAGGAGGCCCTCAGTGCTTAACTGGTAAGATCGAACAATGACCAGCTACTGGAAGCAAATACATGTAATTTAAAGTGTCATTAAGCATTATTTCAGATAGGAGGACAAAAGCAAACGCTGCAGACAGAAATGAGAACTAGGGCAAACTCTGATAGGAACGCAAGTGGATTTAATTATAATTATGTCCCTGCTGTCACCCTGCACATCATCCTACTCCATCCCCACTCAGAGCCCTCTCCTGCACTGGCTCCAAGCACCTGTCTCCACGATCCCTCGGGAAAAGGAAGCAAGCAAGGGCTGTAGCACGATGACCTTGAGCAGGAGATGTTGCCAGCACACTGGGAGGTGATTAACCCTGATCCTGGGACACTGGAAGGTGCGACTGACACAGGCATCTGCAAGAACTGATGATGTCTCAAATCTTGACAGTGCGCAAAGGGCGTTGCATGTAGCTCTCATTTCTGCACCCCCAACGCCACTGATTTCCGTTATACCCTCTTGTGTCTGAAGAGACTGAGCCTCAGAGCATCGCTATGGCCACGCATGCCGCTCGGGGTTCGACATTCCCATCTTTAACCATCATGGCAATGTTATGAAGTGCTGTCTTCATCTCAGACAGGTCCGGTTCTAGGCGGCCAGTCTCATGATCTGATTCCCAAAGCTCACACTCTTTGGTGGTCCCTCCCCACCCCATATATCCCTCCCCCAGTCCTTGCTCCCTCCCACCCTCCCGCCCTGGCAGTGAAAGGCTCCCATACCGGTGATGGTGCAGGCATCCCGGTACCCTCTGCAGCTGGGAGCATCTTCCACAGCCTCGCTTACATAGTGCTCCTCAGGGATGCCCGGGCTGCAGGCTAGGACTGCATGGCTGCACACCTCCGAAGCGGGCACAGAGTTGGCCAAAGTGTCGTCGTGCAGAGCTGTGGCGTCCAGCTTGGCAAGTTTCACGGGGAGGTGCCCACTGCCATCGGGGGCCCCGCTGCTGGAGTCTGGCACAGTTGGGCGGACGGCCCCCAGGAGGTCTCGCACGCCAGCAGGGCCTTCTTAACGGGGAATCTACGAGACAGTCCAGAGAGAGGAGCACAGTTACTTAGCGTCTGGAAAAAAACGGACAAAATCTTTCAAAGGGCCCCGAGATGATGTGAGTACAAGCTGCAAATTCTGAAAACTGCTTCCTTCACACCAAGCTATTATCAATCACATTCCTCAGTTTCCATGAAAGGACTGCAGTGAAGCTCCATTCAAATAATCAGGTATCGATACAGACCAATATATGGAGCACATGGCTTCATTTACTGTCTTGGAACCTGCCTTGGAGCAGCACTAAGCGAATAAACTGGACCACAGCTAAAATGATGACCCTGAAGTAAGGAAATCCAGGACACAGGGAAGCCACATTGAGCGTCAGAAGAGCTGTGTGTGTGCGTTTTGTGCAAGACACACACCGATCTATTTTTACAGGATTCATATATGTTTTTATTTGCACACTGAATTACGTAAGATGCAATGTTTCTCTTAAACCCTTTCAACCACAATACATTCTCGACTGTCCAGGAACTTTAAGACATGCCCCTACCTTAAGCTATGGCAAGAAATTAGGGGACTCCCTTTAAAATAAGATGACAACTACGAACCTTATTCCAAAAAAGAAATATCTGTAATTTCAGGAAAACCGGCTCATTCACAGGCTCTGGGGGATCCAAGGACAGCAGGTTAAGACTCTAGGAAGCCTGAGAAACATTCTCTAGCACAATGGTACTCAAAGTTGTGGCCTGAGAACCCCTGGGGTGCCCTGACCCCAGTTTAACAGGTCCATTAGGTCAAAACGACTTTCTAAGATACTTTCACTCTCATTCTCTCGTGGATGTACAATGGAGTTTTCCGGACACTGCATGACTTGCGATGGTGCCCTTGCTCTGATGGCTCCTTAACAGAATGGGTACTTCTGTTTCCTCGTGGTTTAAAATCTTCTGTTTTGATTTCTAATACAATATATGTAAATCAACATAACACATAGGAACAAAAGCTCTTTGGGATCCTCGATAATCTTTAAGGGGTCCTGAGACCAACAAAGTTTGAGAAATTACGTCTCTGGTATATGATGCATTTACAGTTCGTTTTTTTAAAATAAGAAAACAAAAAGAGGTTTTCTTTTTTGTTTGTTTGTTTGTTTGTTTTGACATAGTGTGGTCAGTCCGAAAGAAAACTATAGCCCCGAATCTGTGACATTTTTCCTTAGTAAGAGGTTATTTGCTAAAATCGAATTCAGGTTAGTTGATGAACTTCCTGCCCTCATTAAAATGAATGAACATATAAATATAAGACAGGAAGGGGGTGGGGAAGCCTTTATATCCCAGGTGGAAGTGAAAGATACAGAGAGATAAGATAGTATTGTAAGATCTAGTCAGTGATTGACTACAGACAAATGGCTCAGCCACCTGAAGAAAGGAAGGAAGGAAGGAAGGAAGGAAGGAAGGAAGGAAGGAAGGAAGGAAGGAAGGAAGGAAGGAAGGAAGGAAGGAAGGAAGGAAGGAAGGAAGGAAGGAAGGAAGGAAGGAAGGAAGGAAGGAAGGAAGGAAGGAAGGAAGGAAGGAAGGAAGGAAGGAAGGAAGGAAGGAAGGAAGGAAGGAAGGAAGGAAGGAAGGAAGGAAGGAAGGAAGGAAGGAAGGAAGGAAGGAAGGAAGGAAGGAAGGAAGGAAGGAAGGAAGGAAGGAAGGAAGGAAGGAAGGAAGGAAGGAAGGAAGGAAGGAAGGAAGGAAGGAAGGAAGGAAGGAAGGAAGGAAGGAAGGAAGGAAGGAAGGAAGGAAGGAAGGAAGGAAGGAAGGAAGGAAGGAAGGAAGGAAGGAAGGAAGGAAGGAAGGAAGGAAGGAAGGAAGGAAGGAAGGAAGGAAGGAAGGAAGGAAGGAAGGAAGGAAGGAAGGAAGGAAGGAAGGAAGGAAGGAAGGAAGGAAGGAAGGAAGGAAAGGAAGGAAGGAGAGCGAGCCTAGACCTCCCAAGCAGAAAAACACTGTGAGTGTCAGAGGCCTGGGGAGGTAGATTTCAAGAACTCCAGTGACCCAACTAAGCTATTGTTACCTGCAAAGACAACAGAAAGACACTGTCAGATATGCAAAAATCTTAAAGACCCCAGACTGGGAACACCTCCAGGTATGCCGACTGACCAGGCCTTGGGGCTCTCGCTAAGGAACGGATCAAGGTACAGAACTCAGGTGAGGAAGACATTTGCTAAAGTAAGAATGGCAGGGACAAGCAGGAACACTTAGAATTAATGTCCAGAAAATGTGCATGACTCACGAACCTGGAGCAAATAGCCCCCCCGCCCCCCCAAAATGGGCAAAGGATACAAAGATTTTCTCTCATCGAAATCGTTTTACCATTCTCCTCCCCGCAAAAAGAAATACACGAACACCAAATAGTGTAAGGAAACTTAATAGTAATCAAAAAATTATCTGTATCCGATTGACAAAGATATAAAAATTATAACAATTTGGCAAGAGTTTTAAGGAACTCATAATTTTACGCACTACTTGGCACGAGGGGCTGGTAATAAATTCAGGACAGCCTGGCCAAATGAATGTGGCTCTTTGGCCTGAGTACGCATGGGCCAAGGTCCCTCATCACGGTGAAACGCTAAGAACCTAAGGTGCCACAGGCAGACCGAGTCAGTTAAGGTGCAGCCACGGACACGTCAACTATGCGGCTGTGAAAAGGAAGTTTCAGAGCAGGTGTGAATTTACTGACACAGAGAGATGTTAGATCCTGAACGAGGACTTCAAAGGGCTTTAAAACCCATTAACGCTGAACCCTCCCTTAGACCTTCTTCAGGCTGTACTTTTGTGCACGCTCTGAGATCCTCACGCAGAAGTTTGAAACACTTCCTCCCCTGGCAAAATGCCATCCTTCTACTGAAAACTAGAAAATTTCCATTCAAATAGGTTTGTTTTTTAGAATAAAGGATCTAAAACAGAAGCATTTCTTAAAGAGGACATCAGGCATGGATTAGACTTTATTATAAGGTGAGGGCGTTGGCCTAACCCCTCCCCAAACCCTTACATCACTACTGCCCTTCTTCCTAGTTCTAAAATAAATAGTTCAAGTAAGTGTAAACACTTTCTAAAAAAAAAAAATGGGAGAGACATCAACAAATGCTCCCTCGAGCTTCCAGAGAGAACCGCGAGCAACCGATCTGAAGTCCAAAGTATACTTTCTGTGTGCAGCGACTCGGCAAAGCCTCGAAACCTCGAAAGGCCCTTCTTTCATTAAAAAGTGGAAGTACTCCAATTTATTTTCTCATCCCAAACCCCAGTTAAAATAATTACGTACCTAGGTGTGTGTGTGCATATGCGTACCACACTCAAGGTACATCGTATCCCGTGATTGGTGAATTTTAATTCTCACGTGACTTTTTTTTTTTTTTTGGCAAAGCAATATTTTTGTTGTATTGCTGTTAAAAAAAAAAATATATATATATATATAAAATGTATCATTTTTAAGTGTATAGCTCAGTAGTGTTAAGTATATTCATATCATTGAATGCACAGTTCTTTTCGTCTTGCAAAACTGAAACTCTATACCCATGAAACAACTCCCCACATCCCCTCCGGCCAGCTTCTGGCATCCCCCATTCTGCTTTCTATCTGTGTAACATCACTGCTCTAAGTACCTCATATGAACGGACTCATACTGCTTTTGTTTTTCCGTGTCTGGATTATTTTACATAGCATGCCATCCTCGAGGTTTGTCCATATTATAGCATAAATCAGAATTTCATTCCTTTTTAAGTCTGAATAATACTCCATTGCACTGAGAAACCCCTCTTGAAAAGACCAATCTTTAGCCCATTAAAATCAAGTGACAAACAACCTAAATTTCTATCAATACAAAAAAAAAAAAGGCATCAAATGAGATAATCCACATAGGCAGTTTTACCTCTGTGCCAGGTACATAGCGTATCTCAAAATAATCATTGTCGCTGACATTATAATTGCCAGATCCTTAGAACCAGATCCCTTTCTTGGTTCTACCATAATATGCATATGCCAGCATTTCTGAACCGATTGGACCGCGAAACTTTTCTCCCTGGGAGACCTAGTCACATGGCATTTATTCCATGGAGGACACTTTGGGAAAAGCTCTCTGTATCTGACACGATCGGTGCGTGTCCAGCGCTCATCTCTCCCACAAGCTGAGAGTTCCTTGAAGGCGTGGGCTGGTCCTGGCGCCTGCTCGGGAACTAAATAAATACTGCAGAATAAATAATAATGAACGAAACGAGGGGTTTCGTGACTGAGGCTCTCCTGAAGCTACGAGGTTGTGTCCGTGCTTCGGAAGCTCAAACGGACACCACCGGCCGCCACCATCTCTTTCTCGGCTGGGTACTGTCTCAGTTGGGTACTGTTACCAGCCTCACTTTACAGTTGAGGAAAAAAAAATGCTCAGAGAGCTTCCGTCACTCTCCAAAGGTCACAGAGCCAGGTCTGAACGGAGACAGGCGATGGGACCCCAATGCGAAAAACGGTTCTTGGCTTGTTCTCGGTCACTTGCCAAGTGTCTCTGGCTTGCCCTCACTTTACGTATGCGGGCATTTCTGAGGCTCCACACAGGGTTCAAGAACAAAGCAGCAGCAGCCCTGGACGCTCTGTGGCTCCAGCAAACCCTGGCCGACCAAGCAAAAGGCTCCTTTCAGGCAGAGGGAACAAATGAGGCTTACGCAGAGTGAGGGTGGATGGCCCTGAGCAATGAAAGCGCCTCTGTTTCGCTTTCTGAGTTCTGCTGGGAAGCCTGCAGGAAGCAGGGATTCTTCTTAGCAGAGGAGTGAGAAATTCTGCAACCTGGTCCATTTTTTTCAGCAAAAGAGGTGCCAGGAAAAGAAGTAGGAGCAAAGTACACACGGAGGCTGCTCTGCATTCAGCTAAAAGAATCCTCCTGCCTTGAGCCCTGGGCCCTGAGGCCAGGTCGCCTGCCTCACTCTCCTCAGCCCATGGTCAATGGTTCCAGGGCCCAGGCTGTCAGAGAGAGCTGGACAGGCTGCTCGAGCTTCTTCCAGTTTCTTGCTG